ACCCCAAGTTCCATCCCGGTTTAATTTTTAGGGTATTTCAAGATTGGAAGTACGGGGGGTTCACAAAGACTGAATCCTTTTTGGAGAGTAATGGAGAGTTGATCCCTTTCAATAAACTGAAGAAGACATATGTTTGCCAGATGAATTTGCTTCTTTTTACAGATGGCTGCAAGATTACATTAGGAAAAAGAGGCAATCGGGAGATGAAACCTAGTCCCAAGGCTGATGATGCTTTGCCACCCACTTGGTTTAATAACACAGAGGTACCTCCCTAGATAACTACTATGGCCCCTGGACTGCCCACCCAATGTAAGACAATGTTGCAGTTAACTGATGAAAATTTCAGCTTATCATCAGATTTCCTGGACAGTGGACTGATGGCAACTCCGGGAACACTGCTACTGATGGAAACACAACTACCATAACCACTATAAAGATTTAGCACAACATCCTCTACTTCTGCAATAATAATGTATCCTTCCTGTACTGGTGTAATACCCCAGGCCCACCTGGTCTAAAGGCATGTGGATCTCAGCTTCAGATAAGGTGATGTGGTGTTACCGTGGTAACAGCCAACAGCGATCCTGAGTCGCCGTATGTAAATACTCCCCCTTTCCCCCCTTCAGGGTGATATGTGGCACTAGTATTTATCACAAAATACAGGGCAAGAGTGTCTGGTTTTAGTAATTGCAGTTCGATGCAGTCAGCTGGAAAATGGGGAGAGTCTCTATAGGTCCCTATGATTAGCTGACCTAGGTGGTGGTACTTGCCGTTCAATATAGGCAACTGGAAGAAGACTATGGTGGTTGCAGTACAGTATAACAGATGACTTTAGGAGGAAATGCTTGCAGCTCAATTATGCAGCCATCTGGTTCATGGGGATAGTGTTTAGTTCAATATAAACAGCTAACTTAGCAGTTAGTACTTGCTGTTTAGAAGGCTGTGGTCCAACAGTGCCACCCAGTGGTCTTTAGCGGTGTGGCAGGCTGAGTTGTTTTCCTCACAGGAAATGTGGTATGTCTTTAGTCCAGAGAAATGGAGTGCACTGTGAAATGTCCGACACAGTCTGCGACCGCGTGCCTGACATGTCAGCTGGTTGCGGGCCACATAGTGTCGGCTCGTGGGCCGGAGTTGGCCCGCGGACTGGTACTTGGAGACCCAAATTTCCACTCGCCCTCACTTTATTTTTACTCGACAAATGCGAGCAGGCGAGTGGAAATTTTGAGCCCTGCTGTATTGTTGAACTATGTCTGGAACCCACTAACACATATATTTCCGTGTGCTGAGTCTAAAGGAACCTCTATACATCTAACACAGATTGTATAACTGAGCCTGACAGATGGAGTGGAAGGGGGCGTGCATCTTCCAGGAACGGGTGTATTTTGTTACTTATTTTGTAGCACAAAATAGTTCTCTCCAGCAGGTTTTGGTGCCTCTGTTTTGTATCCAGTCTCTAGCATATCATAGATCATTGATGTGATCGGTCTCTTCACAATGCTCACAGACAATGCCTTGCAAAACAGCAGCAGTAAAATTAATTTAATGCAGCCCTCCCCCACTACCAAGAACATAATCTTTACCTTAACCCTTTCCCAATCCCTGTATATTGCTTAGTACTATTTCATTCTCTTAATGAAGGTTTATCAAATGAAATAACCATGTAGAAAGATAGATAGCTAGATAGATAGATAGATATAGATAGATAGATAGATAGATAGATAGATAGATAGATAGATAGATAGATAGATAGATAGATAGATAATAGAGAGAAATGAATAGATAGCTAAGAGAGAGAAATATAAATAAATAGATAGATAGATAAGAGAGAGAGAGAAGTAGATCGTAGAGAGAGAGAGAGAGAGAGAGAGAGAGAGAAAGTAGATTGATGAGAAAGAGAAGTAGATTGATGAGAGAGAGAAGTAGATTAATGAGAGAGAGAGAGTGAGAGAAGTAGATCGATGAGAGAGAAAGAGAGAGAGGTAGATAGAAGAGGGAGAGAGAGAGAAGTAGATCGATGAGAGAGAGAAGTAGTTCGATGAGAGAGAAAATTAGTTTGATGAGAGAGAGAGAGGGAGATAGATATTAGAGAGAGAGAGAGAAATAGGTAGATAGATAATAAATAGAGAGAAATAGATAGGTAAGTAGATAGATAATATAGAGAGAGAATAGAGAGACAAACAGATAGATAGATAGATAGATAGATAGATAGATAGATAGATAGATAAACACACTTAAAAAAATCTATGAATTATAGGAGAGTTTGGGGAGGGATTATTTGGCTATGGCCAAGTAATAAGAAAGCTATTTATGACCCAAAATACCCCAGTTTGGCATGTTCTAAAAGTCTTTATTAAGGCTTAGGCTGTCCCATAGACAAGCAGATTTTCTAGTCAGCTATGGGTCTTAATTGCATTCGTATACATACTCATAGTGTGTTCAAAGCTGAACTCGACACAAAACCTTTTATTTAAATATATTTGTCAGTAGTCACAAAGGATATAAAACCATGTTGTGTGCACCAAATGCCTTTGCAAACCCAGTTGTTAGCTTGACATAATCACTGTACTGTACATATTCTGTGCAGAGAGTAGAGCTGTGTAATGACTCGCCGTCTGGCTTCCTGATTGGTCGGGAACCTGGCCAATCAGGAAGCCGGGCGGCTAGTCATTACCCGCCCCCCTTCGGCTTCCTGATTGGCCAGAAAGCCGTCTCCATGCTCCCATGCTCCGATCTGGAACATGGAGCCTGCTTCCCAGCCAATCAGGAAGCCGGACGTCGTGTAATGACTCGCAGTTCGGCTTCCTGATTGGTTGGGAAGCTGGCCAACCAGGAAGCCGGGCAGCGAGTCATTACCCGCCCCTTGGCTTCCTGATTGGCCAGAAACCTGGCTCCATGCTTTCCCATCACCTGGTGACGAGGGAGCATGGAGCCGGCTAATTAGAAAGCCGGGTGGCAAGTCATCACACACCGCTCAGCTTCCTGGCTAATCAGGAAGCCAGGTGGTGAGTCATTACACGCCATCCTAATGGGACTTCCGGTATCGGTATTCGATATCGGCGAGTACCAGGAAAAAATATCGCTACTCGTACTCGATACCGAAAAAACGCTTTGTATAAGCATTTTTGCATGTGTATCAATCTTCAGGTGGTTTTGTTTTAGCCAATGAAATTCACTTTTACAGGAGGAAAGCAGTTCTTAAGGCACAAAAACACACATAAACGCATTGCAGGCACTTCTGTTAAAGTCTATGGTGCCAAAAACATGCGGCACAGCTCCAAAAAAAGCACTTGTATCTGTTGAAGCTTGGAGCATGGAGTGTCAAGTTTCTGAGTGTAGAGAAGTGAACAGCCACAACAGAAAGTGATGAAAGTGCTGCCTGGTGCAGGGCAGAGCCCTAGCTAGCTAATTTTGCTCCCAAGGCAAGAACAGAAATTTGTGCCCCCCCGGCGTGTGCGGTATGTGACATCATGCCCCCCCGCCTCCAGAATGGTGGCGCATTGGGGGGGGGCCCTGACATTTCCCTTTTGAAATAGAAAAAGAGATTGAGGACACAGAGTTCTCTGCCCATACAGGTAGGGGAGAGCAGCGGGGATCAGAGGAGAAGACGGAGCCTGTGCAGCTCCTCTTCTCCCTGTGAGCCGTGGCTGTGTTGGCCACCTGGCACCACTGTTGCCCTGTGCTCGCCATGGCAACAGGGGCAAGGGGGCGCAGCCAGACCGACCCCTTTCAGCTGCGCCTGAGGCAAGTGCCTCACTCGCCCCATGGTAGCTACAGCCCTGGTGCAGGGACTGATGTAAAAGGTTTATGGAAGCCACACATCAAACCTCCCAACTTTCTGAGAAGGAAAAGAGGGATGCAGTACAATGCAGAAACAAGATGTCACCAACACACCGGAGATATGTGTCCAAACATATTGTCATACTGAGCCTAATAAAGGGACCCTGCATGGCCCCGAAACCTTGCCATCCTTGTGAAAATATACATCAATAAAAGTGGTTTGGACACATATCTCTGGTGTGCTGGTGACATCTTGTTTCTACATTAATTGGGGCAGTGCCACCCGCAGTCATTTCAGCACCCATTTCAAATAGGGGTTTACCGGTAAGAAACACGGTGAGATACCCATTGGACATTATAGCAAGGGACACGCCTCCGCCACACCTCTATTTACATGGACCATGAGTGAAATTTTTTTTTTTTTTTTGGGGGGGGCTTTTCAAAATATATTGAATACTTGTAAAGGTTGGATAGAAGGTTTAACACAGGGACCTATTCTGCGCTCAGAGATTCCTGCATCAAGAACCTGCAGATTCCTGCGGCAGGAATCTCAGGTGTCCCCATTCAGATGCAGCCACTGTGCCCGTTCAATTAAATGACAGGGTGACAGTGGCTGCATCTGCAGCGGTAGTCTGCATGCAATCGCATGATTATCTGCAGTTCAGGAGAAATGGTTGTCCATGGATGCAGGATAGATGCGTCCAGGGACAATCATCTATCCCAAACCACATGTAATGGTACCCTGCATGATTACATGTATACAATCGCTGACTGATGCGCCCCCTGTAACCCTGCTATTAACTTGAACAGGCACAGTAGCCACATCTTAATGGGGACACCTGGAACTTATGCTGCAGTAATCTGTAGGTTCTTGCTGCAGGATTTACAGAAAGCCCCATGTGAATACAGCCTAATGTAGTAAAACAATTTTGGTACTTAAATATATTTTATTAGATATCTGTACATCAGACCAAAAAAGGTACAACTGAGGAAGTAAAAGGGATGGAGGGATTTAGTTCCAGAAAGGGGATAGTCCCTGCAAATTATGGATGGTTGGGAGCTCTGATACACTGACATATAAAAGTAAAATGATGAGAATGGAAAACCTATGAGCAGAATATGCTGATGACATCTCCTTTGATTATAACATGTTAGGATAATATTTAGTTTCAGCATTTGCTCAAAATTTCAAAGCAACCAATAAGGTGCTGGGGGGAGGATCCCATCTGGAAGCTTTCTTCTTCTTTTCACTGCTTGGGAGGACCCTTTCACTGCCTCCTTCCAGCTCATTCTTTGGCAGGCAAACCTTCTGGCTAATCTGACACCATCCCCACAGCTGAAGATGACATTTAGAACACTTGACTGATGGAGACATCCCACAACCCAACCTTCAGGATGGACAGTTTGGCTGCCTGCAGAAAGATTTGACGTGTAACAGGTATGTGGAGATGGCTGATTGCTGATATGAAGCTGCAGTGTTTCAGCACTTTAGCGCATGGACAGCTCCCATCTGCATTGCCGCTCTCCTCTATGGATGATGCTCAGCTCTACCTCTCGGTTAACAAAGCTCTGCACACAGACAAAAGCACAGGGTGGCTGGAGGGGACACGGCTCCAGGACAGGCTGTGAGTCAGCAAAAGGATGCACAATCAATGCTAATATGTCATATTGCTAATACAATGCCTGGATGGCATATAGGTAGCATCAACACTGATCCATTTAATATCTAGCAAGCAATATCTGGGTTCTGTCTAATATGGAATAAAAGACAAAGAGAATGTAATAGCAGTAAATGATGGCAGAAGGGGTTAAGTGATGTAAAGGTGGGCAGTGAGAGCAATGGGGATTGCTGCGTGTGTAAAGATTGCAAGATGTGGATTGTTATAGGATAATTGTACGTTGGCGTGGGCTGGAGATAGGGTAATGTAGGCTGAAGGGGGCAAGCGGGTAGACTTCCAGGACAGATCTAAGACTGTAGGGTGCAAGAATACAATACCTGCCATGCATTACTGGTACTGAAATGGTGTGCCATGTTTAATACATCTCGCCACACGGCAGGTCATACGTAGTTACGCAGGATGGAAAAGACATCCATCAATATCTGTTTTAAAAAATTACATCCTCAAAGCCCTTAAACTACCTATAAAGTCATTTCTTCATAAGAGGTCTGCTCAGCTGTAATGTAGAGCAACCTTATTCTTCCAGGGTGCCATGGCTCCCCGGTGTGCATTCTGGCTTCCTCAGGGGTGCCTCAAAATGTTGTGGTAGCGGGACTGTGACATGAAGAGGGGAACTGAGGTGAAGGGGGCTCCTCATGTAAAGGGGGAACTCTAATATGGAAGAGGGGCTTCCGATATGGAAGGGGGGCTTCTGATGTGAAAGAGGGGCACTAATGTGAAGGGGGGCTACTGATGTGAAAGGGGGGGACTCTAATATGAAAGAGGGGCTTCTGATGTGAAAGGGGGGGTCCCTGATGTGAAGGAGGGCTACTGATCTGAAGAGGGGTGACATCTTGATTTCAAGGGGGCACTTCGATGTAAAGGGGGAAACCCACTTTTTGTGTGTTTTTGCATGGGACCCCATAGATTAAAATCTATGACATTTTAGACTGGGGTGCTGTTGCACACTTTTAAAGGGTGCCATGACTGAAAAAAGAAAACATCAATGTGGTGTATGGTACCATTGATCGCAATAGACGGCAGAATAAAAGTTGATTGGCTGAAGTTGTAAGCATTTTCCCACTCTTAACAATGTAGATGTAAAATGTTTGGTGGTATTCTAGTGGATTGCACTCCATAAAAGCCACAAGCAGCATTTTGTTTACACTCTGTGCTTTGCATTTCTAAGACAGACTTTCCATAGGGCAGGAAAAGCACTAGGATGGACATTGCAGGAACACAGAGCCTACACAATGCTGCTGATGTTTTAATCTCTAGATGTGGCAAAGTCTGACATCACTCTAAACTGTGCTAGTATCCTTTTACTGGAATTAGCTTTTTCAAATGCATCTAGCTGTGACTTCTCAGGCAGAGCATCCACCAGCCTTTAGCCTATCGGTAAATAAATCAAATCTGTCAGTTTACTTATGACATCCTCTGCTACTGTCAAGACAAATTAAAAGGGAGAATAAAGATCCCTGAGATCAGTGTGGCTCAAAGGCTTCTCCAGACAGCAAAATATATATTATGAGGTTGTATGATGGCAGCATGAGCAGTAGAAGAGTACTGAACACATTAGCCTTGCATTGCTCTTTGGAAAGAGCTATACAATTGTGTTCAATCAAAGCTTGCAAGCCAGAGGATTCACTTAGCAACATGCCTCCTGCATGCCAACAGCGTACAAAGTGTCAGCAGTCTGTTACGTCTACTTTAACACTTTGTGATTTCTCAAAGCAGAGGAATTGTTCTGATTATTTAAAGTGACAATTACTTAAGAGTTAAATCTTAAAAAAACATTCAAGTACCTTAACTATTAACAAAAATGTATTTTATTTGTGTATCATTCAGCTGTAGATTCTCAAATCATCTCTGAATTCATGCTGACACTGTTCTTCCTTCTGGAGGGTGGATACTTTTTTTCCCCATGGTCCCTGTGTGTGTTGTAAAGCAGCCACTGCTCCAAGCTCACTCCCGTGATGGACTACAATTTCAATACAAATTAGTGAAGTAAACATGAGATTGTAGTCAATTACATGAGCGAGCTTGGAGCGGTGGCTACAGCCGAGTGATACACAAATAAGATACATTTTTGTTAATAGTTAGGTACTTGAATGTCTTTTTAAGATTTAACTCCTGAGTTTAGTGTCACTTCTAGGGCTGCAGCTAACGATTATTTTCATAATCGATTAGTTAGCCGATTATTAAGTTCGATTAATCGACTAATCGGATAAAAAAAAAAAAAGGGTTCAGTGATGGACTACTAGTTTCTATTGAGATTGTAGTCCATCACGGGAGCAAGCTTGGCGCGGTGGAAGTAAAAAAAAGAGTGTGGTGTGCAATATAGTACATTATACAGCGGCGCAGTGCAGAATACCAGCAGCTATAGAGGAATGTAGCAATAGTACATTATACTATAATGTACTATTGCTGGGATTTGTAGTCCTCTGTAGCTGGGATTATTCTGCATTGCACTGTATATAATGTATTATTGCTGGGATTTGTAGTCCTCTATAGCTGGTGGCATTCTGCAGTGCGCTGTATAATGATTATACGGCGAAATGCAGAATACCAGCAGCTATATAGGAATGCAACAAATGCCAGCAATAGTACAACATTATACTATAATGTGCTATTGCTGGGATTTGTAGTCCTTTATAGGTTGTGGTATTCTCTATTGCGCTGTATAATGATTATACTGCACAATGCAGATTACCACTGACCAGTTATAGAGGAACTACAAATCCCAGCAATAATACATTATACAGCGCGATGGAGAATACCAGCATCTATAGAGGAACAACAAGTCCCAGCAATAATAATTCGATGGAAAACGTTGGCAACGTTTTCAATCGTCGATTTTAATCGACTTAATCGAATAATTGTTGCAGCTCTAGTCACTTCTATGTATTCATTTATACAGCATCAGCATCTTCCATAGTGCTCTGTAGACCATGAGGAACCACATACAGAAGTCCCAACTTCAGTGAACCTTTCAGTCAAATTTAAATTCAACCATACATTCAGCATTATAAGTAAAGAACAGTGGGCCTATAAGTATGCTTTTGGAATAATTACCTATTTCAATTCCTAGCAAAAGCCTTCTGAACATATAATAAATATTCCAAAATCCATGCCATTCCTCCTTCTCAAAAAAAAAAAAAAAAAATGTGTGCCTCTTCATATTAATAAAAAAAGTACATTTTTATTTGCATTGGAGCCAGTAAAGCTTTGCAGCTGTGACCAGTGAATCTTGGGGGCAATGCTCTGGCTCTTGCAGACCCTTTCTCCTGCCCATGTCCTTACAGTTACATTCTGTAATATGGATGAGAGAAAGAATGAATGGACTACAATTGTGGTGACATCACTTCACTTAGAATTTCATTAAGAACTACAAATTCCTGTTGAAGGATCTGTGAATGGATGATGATGGGGTTATGTGGGTAGAACCATGCACAGCCACACCAAATTTAAAAAATATACAAAAGCCTATGGGGAGAAGTGTGCACCATACTGTATCCGTCCATACAGCTGCCTTTAGTACACATTGGAACATTAGAGGGAGGCTACACCAGGGATAAGAAACCACGACCTTTCAGCTGTTGTACAACTACAAGTCCCATGAGGCATTGCATGGCTCTCACAGCCACAGGCATGACTCCTAGGGGCCGAGGCAGAATGGGATTTATAATTTCACTACAACTGGACTGCTGAGGTTGCCTACCCCTGGGCTACACAATACAAATCCATAGGTCAAGATGCTGCAGTCTCGCCTGAGACACATTGAAAAAAAACATGATGTCTTCCTTTGCAGGATTACGGTATATAAAATGTAGATTAAAGTTGATTTAGTTTTATTTGCATGATTGCACTTGTTGCCTGTAGCTGATTTTCACAAAATAAATGCTTTAGAATCAATGAATAAACTTGTAGCCTGTTGGAAAGTTGTCAGGGCTGGAGTAACGGGCCAGGTGTGGAACCCCTTGGCAGGGACGAACAAAGTCCAAAAATCGCAGTACAAAAGGATAGTCCAATCGGGGAGTCAGGTCCAGTTCCGGGTCGTGGCGGGCAGCAGAAATCGTAGTCGAAGGGTCAAGCAAAAGGGTCGGTAGCCGGGAAGTCAAATCAAACAACGGGTTCACAGGAGGGAGCTGGGTGTTCACCATGAGGTAGAATAACTCAGCAATGAGTCAAGGCTCTGACCAGCTTTAAATAATCAGGGAACCCAGTCCCGCCCCCTGGCTGTCAAGGCAACCAGGAAGCTTCCCCTGTCAGAGTCCAGTCACAAGGCTGAGGGCAAGTGGTGAAGGCTGAAGTCCTCCCCCAGCCTGAGTAGCACCTGTGGCATGGAATGGCGTGCACGCGCACTGGTCACACCAGCGTCAGATGCCCTGCCAGGGGGAGGAGCTACCCGTGCCCGATGCCCGCGCCTGCGAACCTGACAAGGAACGGCCCCCCTGGGTCCCTGACAAAAGTGTTGTATATGCTGTCCATCACTTTTACTATAAAGTATCCCCCCTGAATAGAGACGTGTGTGAAGTCATACAGAGCATCATATATGTCAGGCTCCCTGCACTGCTTCACTGAATGTTTATTTGGTTCTATACCTTTTCAGCTGGATGATTTAACCATTAGAGACAAGACACGTCTGCAGCATAAGAATTACCTGTACTACAAGCACAATAATGAATATTAATATCAATTGTCTAGATAATGTAAGATTAACAAAGTAAATTAAGAAAATTACATCAAGAGAACCAAAGAATGAAGTCCATTTTAAAGG